GGCGCGGGGCGGCTCGGCGGGCGGGCGGGCGTCCCGCCTCCCTGCGTTGGGGCATAGGCAGCGCTGCCGGGCGTATAAAAGGCGGGGAGCGCGCTGCCCCGGCGCTGGTGCCCGTCGGAAGCGCTGCCGGCTCTTCTCCGCTCTGCCAGGTAACGGGGGCGTCCTCCCTCTCCCCCGCAGCCGGGGTGGCCCCGCAGCCGGGGTGCGGTAACAGGGAACCGTTTGCTCCAGGTCCGCAGACCGCAGCGAGGATGAACACGAGCTTCTTCCAGATACTAAAAGCAAAAAAAGAAGTAAGTTTGCCGGAGGCGTTGGGTCTGTGATAACCCCCGTCGGTGAGGGGATGCCATGTAATCACGAGCACCTTATAGAGGAAATGGTGAGAGCGGGGGACGCGTGTAAGTTGAAAACCACGCGTTGGAAGTGAGGTGGTGCAAACAGTGATATAGGGGTAATGTACCGTAACAGGTAATCACACCTTAGCTCCTTGTAACCCTCGCTGCCCCTATTCATGGCTCTGTAGCCAGGACACTAGTTCTTCAGCTCTCCGTTTTTTGTCTTTCAGCTCATTCCCCTGGTTGGAGTCGTGTCCTTTGCAGCAGTTGGGGCGCTCTCTTTTTCTGTCTATTCCCTGTTCAGCAAATCTGATGTGATGTAAGCAAAATACTTATTGCTTGGAGTTTACCCTAACCGTTTTTTGTTCAGCGGAGGTATCGGAGCATCATGTTTTGCACCAAAAGAAAAAAATAAAAATCTGTGGCGATGTTCCGGACTACTACTAGTAATGACTAAGATATTTGCAGATTGTGAATACTGAAAAAATTAATTAATTTGGAGCGTAGTCCAAATTATTTCCTAACTTTTTATTTAATATTTTTTCTTTGCTTTAGGTGTAATAGGTTTTAAATGTTCTTCTGAAGAACTTCAGATAATCAGATAGGTAGATGACATGCAGATATGTTGCAGCCAGGCTATTGACTTGTATATGAAGAACAGCGTTTGATAATATGAACTTACAATAAGTTAATATTTTAATGGCTTGGCTGATAATTGGAGCTAAGTCCTATACTCTTTAAGCTTTGGGGAATTTTTATATTTACTTTAAAGTGATTGGAATAGGCATTTTAGCTGTCAGGGTAAGAATCTCCTTACTTTTTCTCTGTGTCTTTATTCAGTTTTGGCTTTTCAGCTTGCTTGTCTTATGATAACACATTATACTTGAACAATGTTGGCTTGTTTGGTGCTTTGGAAGCTGCAAATAAAGCAAGCCATCATGAATTCCTACCCAAAATTTAAAAGAGAAATGCCCAAACTTGTAAAGTTGTGTTTCAGGAAACTACTTACATGAATAGTTCTGCTGACAATAGACTGCTCATATAAGAAAAATGTATGCAAGATCACACCCTAAAACATAGTACCTGTTTTGGTTTATCTTCTCTTACAGCATTAACAAGACTGGCAATCCAGAACCATGGGAAACTGTTGAGCCTACCAAGCCTCAGAAGGTAACATGTACAAATAATATAGTCAGTACAAACAGCATATATTTCAAACATAATAACTTTGTTTAAATGTGTAAGAACTAGCAAAATATTAGTGAGGAAACAAATGTGAAGCTGACGTATTATCTATTTAAAAGTGGAACTGCTTAATTCATAACTTTATGTAAAGTATCTTCCCTGTATTAATGATAGGGATTCAGCTATTACATTCTAGGTCTGATCCTGAATTTATGACATACTTCTGGTTGGTGTACCCCCCCTCCCCCAACATCCATTTACTCAATTCCATTGATAACAGTGGAAACTTGGAGTGTAGAGGAAATGCTGTTTACCTTTGCCTTGTTCCTGAACTATGAAATTGACTAAGAATGCTTTTGAGTACTGCAGCCTGAAGGAAAAAAAAATCTTAGTTTAGTGGAGCATCTAGGATAAGGAAAAATAAAATTATTTGGCATTATTACATATTTAATATCCAAGTGATTTTCTTCAACAAATTATTTAATATGTCATCAGTTGCTATTTTTGCGTACTTCTAAAGGAAAATGTAAAGCTACTAGAAATCCTTCTTCACTGATAAATTGACGTATGATACAGGGGGGTGGGAGTAGAGCAAATGCTCACTGGGATTTTGCTAATTTCATTCGTATTTTCCTTTTAATTTCTTCCAGCTATTAACAATCCATCAGAAATGGAAACCCATAGAAGAGCTGGAAAGTGTCAGAAAGCTTACGAAGTAACAAGCTTCTGTTGCCTCAAAAAAGGTACCCTATGAATCTAGTGGAATCACTTCTGCACAAACTTGACTACTGAAATCAGTGTGCGGAAATGCTTCTGCTACATTTTTAGGGTCTCCCTACATTTTTTGGACTCTGGATGAGGAGTTTCATGTTGCTTTAGAAGTTGGCATACAACATCCACATAGTCCAAAAATCTGTCTCAAATATTCATTTTCAGTAGGCATGATGTCAAATGTTGAATATTCAGATGGTAATTATAGATGGAAAAAGCATTCAGACTTTTTGTAGAATTTCATTTTTCTCAAAATACATTAATTTTGTAGTTTTATATCTTTTTATTAAAGTATATTTTAAATTTTTACAACATTCCATGTAAATTCCATAAATGGAAATTACCCCAAAGCCCTTGTACATTAGGATTCCTGGTGTGCTCCCTCTCTATACTGTATTTCAATGCTGTATACAGACCAAATAGTCATCATAGCCAGATGATGCCTTTGTATGGCAACATACATGGTCATAAAGTATACTTGAATTAATTTTCTATATTAGCTGTGATGACAATTTAAGTCAAAACTAGTGTTCTGCTGCTAATACTAAAACTTATACTTGCGCTCACCTTAACCCACTGAGGAGTCCAATAGGTTATTTAAGAGTATATTTGAGACTGCAGGATTAGAACACAAGAATTAAGCGTGGCTAAAAGGGAATTGGAAATCAGATCATTTCTGTTGTGTTTAAATATTGATAGTGTTTAAATTTAGAAAACGTTACTAGAATTAGGAAACTTGCATTATCCAAAACTAATTACGTAATGTTAATTTCTTTTTATGCAAGGTAGTTCATGTGCAAGCTCAAATGTACTGCACAGCTAGCAATATTTTTAAACATTTCTAGATACATGCTATTAGGGACATTTGCTTTAACAAAGAGAAAATAACAGGTTAAAATTACGATGATTCTATGAAGAGACAGTTCCTCTTTAAGCATCTGTGTGTTTTCTTATGGGTTGGCCAGGGAAAGAATGTAATGGGCAGACAGACCCCCAGTAAATTAAGGCAATACATGCATCCAGTGGTAGAACAGTCCTTTTGTGGATATTTTCAGTATGTGTCCCTTTCCAAGCAGTTTCACAATATATTACACAGTTTCTTTTACAATGGATCTGCAGAATGCATATTACTTTCTTTGAGGAAGAAAGCAAAAGTGAAACAACTCCTAATTGGAGAAAGTCCCTGTAAGTGGGAAATAATGAAGTGCTTTAGATTACTCTGCTGCAGCAAAGACAAAACTTAAACTAGTAAAGCTGTCTCATGAATTTTAAGGTACCTTGGCTTCAGAAGCTTTGTTTTATTCAGCTTTGTTGATGCTGGGAAAAAAAAAGTTAAAATGCTATTTTATCCCATACTTGTGTGCAGATGCAGCGTAAATATTTGTTTATCAAGTAAGGATGACTCAGCAGTATATATGTATAAGAGTAAGAGGAACTACAAGACTTGAGAATGTGTTCTTAGCTTTCATGTTAAGGAATGACATTACAAGATGATTGGACAGCATATAACCACAAAAATCCAGTGCTCCACAGAATACAAGTTTTAAGTATCTTAATAGAGAAACATTTTAAAATATTTTCTGTAAGTTATTCTGTATTTCCGTAGTTTTACTGGACTGTATCAAATAAAAAGTGCTGTGCTCTTGAGTTGATGCATGAATTAAATTAGTTTGTTCTTCAGTAAATCACTTGTATGGTCTGTAAATACTATGACCTAAGTATCTGTCAACATTAGGGAAATAAGTGTAAGTCATTTTTATGTAATTTTTGTACTTAACTATTTTCCAGTGGTGTCTTGCAGTAGCACATTAAGCAGTGTGACTGCCATCAGTCACAGGTTGTTGCTTCTCTCATCCTGTCCTGAAGCATAATAGCTAAGGTAATAGAATGTTTTGCTTTGTTAGCCGCTCCTTTTTTTTTTTAAAGATTTGTGGGGAGGGTTTTCACATAATGTGAGAAATCAAAAAGTTTTTCTGCACTTCAAAAAGATTGAGTATTGTTAAAGTTCTTGGGACAATTTTGTGTGTTCTTATACTGTCCCTAAAAATACTGTCTCCTGCATAGGCGAGGTTTTTTTCTTGGAAGTAGAGCACACCAAGAAAAATTACTGTATCTGCCCCCCAACTACTCAACATAAATCTATAAAGCAATATACCAAATGTTTCCTTATTCTACAAACATCAGAGTTAAGACAGTAAAGACTTAATTAGCTGAATTTTATGAGCTGACTTTTATGAGAACAGTAAGACTTCCATGTCCTGTCTTAGGCAAACCCATGACTTTTTATTCCATGGACAATTTAAGGCTGTTGAAATAATACAGCAACTTTCTTCCTTCTCTCCATTCTGTTCTCTCCATTTTGTCTCCTACTCCATTCTCTTTTTGGTTTTGGTTTTGGTTGGTTGGTTTGTTTGTTTTTAACAATCACTATCTTTGCTTACACTGTCTAGTACTTTTCCATGGAACTGTATCACTTCCAACTTTAATTAAAAAGTTAAATTAAAATGCTCACTGGCTTGTTAGAGTTTCAAATATAGATTAGAAACCATTAGAAATGTTTTTTAATGGTTCTAATCACCATTAGAAATGCATTATTAGAATCTATGGTCATGCTTTTCTAACTGCAGGTGGCTGTCAAGTAGTCTGTAAAATAACTTTCTGGAAGAATAGAAGGTTACTTTCTGCAGTATACATGCTATCATTAATTACTAATTTTTGTTACTACAATAGTACTTAAAGGCCTTAACCGCAGATCTGGCATCATTGTGGTTATCCAAGAGCCATGCTGTAGTTTTGATTTGGTTTTCTTTTCATCTGATAGCCCTGGTGTCAGCATTTCTGTGTCTGATGTCCCCTACCCCCTGCATTTCTGTATTGCAAGATGCTATTAGTATAGTACTATGCTATCTAGTTACTTCATTGGTGCGTGTGGTTTCTGTAGAAAATAGTAACTTACAGAGGGGCCTGATGTAATCATTAAAGAAAATTGTTCATCCCGCAGTTATCATCTGTCTCCCTCAGTGCAGAGGGTGGTTGTCCCTAGGACTAGGTGTAGAAAACAAACAAGAGTAATGGGAATGATTTGCTGGATCCAGCCAATATTTGGTGTTGGACATTTCCCAAAAAAGCTTTCAGATTAAACAAACAGCCACGCTACTCAGCACAGTTCTAATTTGCTGTCTGCAGTCTTTGCTGTACAGCACATCCCTGCCGGGCGGGGAGCGCACAAGATAACGAGATCACCTGAAAGTAGAACTGAGATGGAAATAAAGCGTTTGCGAGGCAGTGGACTCGGCTCCCTGCAGCTGGAATAAGTAACTATCGACCTCCAGGTGCCGATGTGAATAGAGAGCGGGCAGGTTGTTTGCTGAAAGCGATCTCCCACCGTCAACAGCCATCACCGCCAACTGCACCCTTCAAGGGAAGTCCAAAGAGCCGTTCTCCTGTGGCGCCTCGCCCGGATCAAAGATCACACACCTTTACAGCGCACTTCACGGCGGCTGTACCAACCCTATTTATGCTGTACCTTGACCTGGTGACCAAAGGATTTTCGTTTAATTAGCTTTTACTTTTAGATAACCTTGTCACGTATGTTCTGGGCAGAGCTGGTAATGGGGATGTAGTGTCCTTCTGCAGGGCTCACGAGGGACGTGCGGTCATACAACGCGGACAGCCAGGGGCCTGTGACGAACGACGCCGCCAGGAGAGAAAAGCTCCCCCCCACCCCCCACCCGCCGCCGCCCTCGGCCACGGGGCTGTGAGGTAGCGCGAGGCGGCCGCGCCCCCCCCCCCCCTTTTCCCGCCCGTGCCGTCTCCCTCCGCGGCCTCTCATTGGAGGGGGCGCCGGGCCGCCCGCGGGGGCGGGGGGCTTTTCTCAGCGCCTCATCTGCCTTCCCCCCCCCGCCCCCCTCGGGCCGCCGCTGAGGAGCGCGCTCTCAGAGCGCCTGTGGGGCCGCCTAAAGCCTGTGAGCCTTCAGCAGCGCTGGCTATTGCAGCGGGGAGAAGGCCTCTCTCTTGCTAAAAAAAACAGGTACAAGCAAAGCAAACCTCTCACTCCGGGTTTTGTGTTAATGTCAGATTTCCAGGTGTGTGGTTAGAGGAGTTGAGCGCTCTTCCTGTGGTAGTGTGCTGCCTAGGTACTCAACAGTCTGCAAGGTAAAGGATTTGTGTGGTGAATGAGGGGGTTGTAAGAAAACTGTAACTCGGGTGTTGGGGGATGGCAGAGCTTTAATTGGCGTGGGGCTGTGTTAGCAAGTGAGAGTCCTAGAAATAATTTGCCTGGCCTTCAGCATATAGGCCACATACTAGGGGATGCAGCCAGTCTGGAAAAATAATTTTAAAAAACCCTCATCTGTTAGCAGTGGGAGCATGCACAAAAGGCTCGGTTTGGTTTTCTCTTCATTGAAGACTTGCAAGGTTTGGCCCAATGTGTCACGCAGGTGCTGTGGGCCATGGCCGTGGCCCTCCCGTGGTGCTGAACACTGCCTTGTTCACGGCAGGCCGCTGCTCTTCGGGCTGCGTGTCTGTAGTCTCTGGGATGCATCAGTCAAGTGTCCTGGCTTGCGCACGTATAGTTTGTGGCTTCTGGTGAACCGGACGGGTTGCATAGCAGCCAGTGACAGCAAGGGCCAGAGTCAGGCCGCGTGTGGTGCTGGGCCTCCTGCCGCAGCGGTACCTTGGCGCTGGGCTTGGAGGTGTGTGCCTGTCCTGGATGATGATACGTTTCTGCTGCTCTTGGCCAAGATTTGACCACATGTAACGTTCCCTAAAAAGTGTTCTGTATAAATAATTTGGACTTCGTGATGCAGCATTTTTAATATAAAGCTAGTCATCTTTGTGACCTTGTTTCTATAAAGTTTCGAAAGTGCTTGTGCATGTCTGCTAAAATTCAGATAAATGTGCTTCCAGTTTTACTAGCTGAGAAGCAGAGAAAAATCAGTTTCTTCAACTTGAAGCATTTGATCTGGACTGTACTAGACTCTGGTATTACTTGCTCTCTGTCTCCCACACCCTCCTCCCTGTTTTCTACTGAGAATCCTTCCTTCTTTCCCTTGCTGACACATCTTTTCTTCTTGCCAAATCTCGTTCTGCCTCGCCCACCAAAACAAACACATCAGGAAATCTTAGAATTTTCTTGGCCTAATTTATTTTTATTGTTGCTACTATTTATTAGTACACCTGCACGGTGTTCTAGGAAGTTACACATGTAAAATGAGTAGATCAGAATATAATTAGGCTGGTGATTGAAACTCAGAAATTAAGCAAAAAAGGCCCTGCTTGTAATGTGTGTTTTCCTCTTCCTTCCACCCTGTTCTGCTTTGTTTTATTTATGCTGATGGTATTGTAATAAATGCACCATTGGGATGATTCTTAAAAAAAAAAAAAAAGAGGAGCCTTACTAGTAACAGTAAGGATGCGTAGTCTGTAAACTCTTCAAGCAGGAGTCGATAGATTTTCAGTATATGCATAAATAACAGTAAATACTTAAGAATTATCTTTCCATTTGGAAAAAAAGAAATTTGAGTCGCATACATAAGCATGCATTGTCTTTTAGTAGACTCACATAAAAACATTTGCAGTTTTTCTTTAAATTTGTTAACATATTAACGTTATGTTGGTTGGTAGGGTCCATTGCTTTGAAAGCTATCTCTTAATTTTGCTACTGCAGAAAAATAAAGGCCGTGTCTGCTAATAATATTATGGGAGACTGTGTGTTCCCTACCCATGTCCATCAAAATATTTCTTGCTTTGAGTAAGAGCTGTTCTGTTACTGAAATTTGATTCATCTGGTTGTTTCCTTACAAGAAAATGGCAAAATAACTTGTTCATGTTCTGTAACTCCAAACATGAAGTGGTCTGGCAGTTTTTAATCCTAAGCACTATAAATCATCAGGGTTCCTGTAGCCTTGCAGACCATGATAGTTGCAGTCCAGGCAACAGCTGTGAAACAGCTTTTTCATTTGTGTATTTTCTTTCGCTTTTTGAGTAAATTGGAAAATGTAATTTCTTTAAGTTCAAACTCACTTAGCTCTCAGTCAGCCAGACTTGCTGACTTCACTGACCCCAAGTGTTGCTGAAGCAGGGCCAGGAGATGATAGCTCTTAAACTTGGGACTTTTTCACAGCAATTGATTTTTTTTTTTTTAAGCAGAATTCCCTGCTGAAGTGAGTGGGAATTCTGCACAGGCACTGTTGTTACCAGATGGTGGCAAACTGAGGATCTACAGACTCAGGAGGAAAAGTCAATAGGATACAGCACCAAAAATAGACTGCGGGGACCAGAGCTCTGTAGCAATCCAGTCGGCATTGCGTAAAGGAACATGTATTAAATGATGCAGTCACAAGGCAGAGCTGCCTGCCATTCCACTTTATGGTTACAGCTGTTCTCCAGGACTCTTTGGTTTTCAAGCTACTTTTTATCATTTTACTCTTTTGTTTGGTATTTGGCATGAGACCAATCTGTTCTGGTAGACCAGAAGTGGACTGCTAGTGACTGCGGGCTCGAGTGCTTCATTGGCCTTTTGCACAGAACTGTATTTCATCTTTGGAAAGGACTGATGCACGTTGTGAGTGTAAGTGAGGAATGCCCACCTTATCACCCCACTAGATTGTTACACAGATTGTTAACAGCACAGTGTTTGTGAAAAGCTGAAGTTCTTTGTCTTCCTGTTTCAGTATTGTAGAATATGTGGATTTTTAATTGCAAAATTCATGTAGGGTCAACATGATGCATTAACAGATGCAGTTTATTTCAACACAATATTACATTGTGTGATGTATAGAGGGCAAATGGGGGTAGCTGTGGATACAAACAGATTAGCTGAGAGGTCAGAAAGCCACACAAATTTGAAAAATTTCTTAAGTGTAAATAAATATGTTTAAGCTTTCAACTTTAGGAAAACTTTCTCATTCTTGATTTCCTGTTGGCATTTCTTTAATTGAAATAAATGTATTTGCAGTAGGCAAGTAACTAATAACACCATCCTTTACCAGACTTGCTGCTACTGCACGAACAAGGAAGTAAATGCAGAAAATCCAGATAGTTGTAATCCCCAGTAGTAACAGGAAAATCTTATCAGTTTGCCAAAGAAAAGCAAAGTCATCTACTTGTAATAAATCACTGATTCACTATATCAAAACAAAGGGAAAACAGTTTTTCTATTAAAGCTGTTAAGAATGTTTCATTTAATGATGCATCTCTCCCTCCTGCTGTATGACTTTCTAATTCAGTAAAGCCTGAATATTTTTTAAAATTACTGTTAGCATTATGCTGCCAATGCTGTCAGCGTTATTAAATGATACATTAGCATTATGCTGCCTTTACTGTCTTTTATTTTTCCTCTTGTGAAGTGCTTTGAATGAAACCTGCTATGGTCAGAAAACAGAGTTTGGCTTAGACTGCGGTATCCACCTTACTCCCAAAAGCAGAAATACACAGCAAAATCCCAGTCATGATGACTTGCAGTCCTGTTCATTACCTCATTGCCAAACTCTTAGCCATAATTTTAATATTACAATACCATGTTGTGCAAAGTAGATGTAAAATAAAATTAGTTTGAAGTTATGGGAATGTTTTTATACTGATTTCAGGGGGGCATGGAATTAATATAACAAAACTTCTAGTGGTTGATGTATATGTACTAGTATGTGTTTTTTGAAAATTCTCTCCTTAAGAGAAATAAAAACATTTAAGGATCAGGCATGTCTTTGCTCAAGTTCCTCTATGTGTATTAGTTCAAAGAGGAAGCTGTTGTAGTATGCAGAACAGGGTGATACATGGAAGTTTCTGTTTGCGGTGTGTGTTGAGCGTATAACTTTTTGATAGGTGTAAAGGACAAATGTATATATCCTCTGTGGGTGAGTGCTTTAAATAAACAAAATTGCCGTCTAAGTCATAGATTGATTCACTCAATAAAGAACCAAAGCGTTTGACCTTCCTATCTGTTTTTAGAAATCCTCACAGTTGTCTGTTTGGCTGTACCACACATGTAATGTACATTCCTCAATAACAAACACTAAAGCACAAAGGTATTACTGCAGCTAGAGATGAGCATTTGTTGAAGAAATGTGTAATCAGAGTTACGAAAGTCAAAAGCTAAGAGAACTTCTTTACCTATTGGGCTTTTTTCTTCTTCACTAAGGAGATAAAAATATGGCAACCCAACAAAGAAGGGAGATGGGGGTAACGCTCCAATTATTTTTTTTTTTTTTTTTCTTAGCATCAGTAATGTATGTGTGTGGTGTGGGCTAGATGGGTAAAACGTACCTTGCTTAAGAGAAAAATGACTAACATCAGACATCCTAGTTGAACTGCACAACAGATCAACTAATGCTGCAATCTATAAAAGAAATTGGTACTGACTTCATTTGTGACCACCACAATTTGATCCAGAAATATAAGTATGCTCCATAGTTGGCTGCATGGTAATGTAATGGAGTCTAATGTTTTTCAGTTGCTCCAGTACCCACATGATCTGTCTTTATCTGTTTTCTTTCCTCCTTCCTCTTTTGTACACAAACACACCTTGTAGCATCAACAAAGTATCAAGAAAAACCACCACAACCAAACTGCAGTATGAATACTCTTACTTAGCCATAGCAGTTGGTGGGCCTATTAGTAGGATTTAATTTTGTTATTACTCCTGCTCTGTGAGCTGTTTCTTTCTATCTCTGATAGCTAAAATCAGGGATTACCTCTTCCCTCAATCATTCCTCCAGAGCACCTTCAGATGTAGTAAGTCCAAGTGTGGAAGAATAATATTCTGCTTTCATTGCTGCTTTACAAAGACAGTTAATAGATCTAATTTAATGTGATATCCTGCATAGCTATCCACAAGTGAGTGTATCTAAAACATATCTTCATTTACAGATCACTGCACATGGCCCTTTAACTTTTTGGTATGCAAAGAAATACTTTCTTTTAAATTTCCTATGATACGACTTGACCTTTGCTCTGTGGCAAGTCCAAGCAGCTAGGCTGCCTGAAAACCATCATAATTTGTTCCATCTAAGTTACGTTTAAAGCAAATATCTAAGCAGAAAGAAACCAGTGTCTGTAATTGGTTGGGCAATTTCCGTTTCCAATTGGAGGTGTGTGTCTTCTGCAGAAGTAGAAAATACAGAATTGCTTAATAGCTTGAAGAAATGAAAGAAGACTTACTGGAAGGAAGTTGTGGTTCTGAGTTTTTCAGCCTCTGCCATCTGTATTTTCTCTCTGTGAAGCCTGTTCAACTAGATCAAAAGGCAACATTATACTTGCAATTGCAGCAGTGTGTAAACACAATGATATTCTACATTTATAATTGTATCTGCCTATTTTGAAACAAAATTGCTTCCCTCTGTGTATGTTTCTGATTGGAAGTGTCATCAGATCCTTTATAAAAAAGCAGACAGTTTCAGATGGAAGTATCTGTTGTCCTGGAAACATGAATTCAGCGCCCCAAAGAAGCAATACTTATTTTCATAGAAACAAAGGGCTTGCATGATAACTTATATTGTTTACATTAATGAATATAATTTGTTCTAATTGCATTTCAGATACCCATAGCTACAACTAATTTCCACTCATACAATTTTTTTATTACATACTTGGAACTGGAGGGAGGCATTTGCACGTTGTATTCCATGATATTTACCTGTATAGGCCTTTAAGAAGTATCTTAAGCCCTTCCCAGTAATTGATTAGCAAATATGTGCTAGGTTTGTGCTTTTCCTTATTGCATCCATGATAAAGTTAAATTCCGTGTGTTATCCTTAGGAAAAATTAAGACTTTTTTTTACTTACTAATAAGACTTTTTTTAAATTTGCAACAAAGTATATTCCTTTGAAAAGTAGAAGTTTGAATAGTTATATTCAGTACACAGCTCTGTTTATTAAAGCTGGGACTAGTGCACCATCTCCTGGTAAACTCGGGAAAGGCCTTGAAGGCTGACAGTTCAGAGGGGAGAGTATTTGTAGTTTTGTGTCAGACTTGTTCTTACAGTGGGCTTGGAAAGAGGGAACACATGAAATCTATAAAAAAAATCAAGAGTAATTGTATGCTAGGTTCAAATATGTAGCATCATCTTAACTATGAAAATGTTTGTTTATGGTGTTTTTTGCAAAAAATCTATTGTAATTCAAAAGGCCAGTTACTAGAATTAAATAGCTATTTTTTACATTTACATCTCATCAATTTATTTAGGCATTTATTAGATAATTTCTGTGTTTGTGTTTTGGGGAAAAAGAAATAGGAAGAGTGCAGGGACTTGGGTGCTTTTAATGCACCTGAGACAAAAGCATATTTCTTGTCTGCTTGGCATCTGGCTGCTTTTATGTATTCATCAGCTTAATAAAAAATCCCTGTATATATCAGTACTGAGTTTAATGTGAAACACGCTCTGGACAGATAGCATTAACTGGTTTTATGTACACTCATGTACTGGCTAGTCACAATCAGAAAAACAACTTATCTTTTCACCGGGTATAATAGTAAGGAAATCATAAAGCTGTCATCATATAGATAAAATTATGCTTGTGTTTATGAAATACTTTTTTCCTACAGAAATTGATGCCATAAAAGGTGTAAATGCTTCATAACTGTAATAAAAGCAATTAAGTTATTTTATCCCGTACATTTAGCGCTAGTCATTTTGAAACTGTGTGATACTGAGACAAAAAAGCAGAACACGATGGAGAAAAGGAAAATAGAGATAGAAGAGCAAAAATATTGATTTGGATGTCATTATTTTACAGCTGTAAACATAGAAGGCAGGTATGTGTGCATTATAAGAGCAGATTGCTGTGGTAGCTGGATAGCAGCAAATAGAAAAGGTAAGTATTTATTCTAGCAGCTTCCAAAGTTGTGTCAGGTGTTTCACAGAACGAAAGAGCATGTATGGTCCTTCCCAGAGCATTCAGCCATGGAAAATGGAATGAGAAGAGTAGAACAGAAGGGGATTTGCTAGCTCCAGAGCACAGAGAGTATCTATTAGTGCCCGGCATGATGTGTTACAAAGAAGGGGAAGATGAGGTGAAGCTGGAAAGGGGATTAAGGGTGTGGAAGATGAAGGACATTTGTTTTATTTTTTTTAAGGTAGAAAGTGAATCTAGAGGCTTTCAGATTAGGTCTTCCTTGTGAGTTAGCAACTTGATGGCTAGAAGTTTTTTTTCATCTAGAGATCAAAGAGGAAACGGACTTTGGGCAAGCATGTATTTGAATAGAACAGGCCTTACAAGTTGTTTGGGGGTGTTTCACACCCCGTGCTGCATGAGAAGCTCCTAGTGACCACGTAAACAGCAGGTGCACAGGGTGCAAGCTGGACATTATTAGTGAAACTGTGGAGAGGGTAGAGTATCGCAAGAAAATGAGGTGAGAGAAGCAGAGAGTGGTGGCATAATGCGAAGTGCTGATGCAACATGACATTTGAGCTAGGTGTGCTAACTCCTGTAACAACCGAATGTGCTTGGAGCAACCAGAAAGAAAAAAGAGCTTGGCGATGCAGTTTTGGATGGATAGAGGGAAATGAGCTGGGTATTTACAGTGAATTGTCCCCTCCCCTTGAAAACTCAAGGGAACTTCTCTGGCAATGGACTAGCTTATTGAAGTCTAGGAAGCTGCTGCAGTACATATCATATCTAATTACCCAACAACCTATCTTCATTTATGAAATTCTTGTATCTGTAGAGAGAAATAATACTTAACAGCCCTGCTCTAGGCAGCATCACCACAGTGTTGTCATGAGATTCTGCCAAATACCTGAACAAAAGACTTACCGCTCATTAGTTGGTGGGTGTCTTATGGGGTTTTTTTATTTTATGTCAGAAAACTACTTTTAAATGCTAGCCTACTGCTTTTCTTAGTCATTCTGCCAGTTGGGAGTGATTCTGCAAGAAATAGCAGATACGTACAGTAGTAAAGTAATTGAAGATGAGATTCAGGTATGACATTTTAAATGGTAATTCTGCTGGTGTAGAAAGAAATGCTGCTGGTATTGAAGAGACTAAATGTCAACACAGTTTAAAAAAAAACAAAAACAAAAACCACCCAAACAAAAAACCCCACAGAATTAAGCAAGGAAAACATTAAGAAACAAGATGGGTTTCTGTTAATTTTCTTCTTAGGATAAGAACATTTCAGAATAGAAGAGTGGGATGTGAGGGTTTGCAGTCTACTCGATATAAAAATGCTTCATTGACTCATAGGAGTAGGTTGTCATCAAAGCTGTATCTATGCTTTAGAAAAGGATGGGTGACAATCAGAGATTAAGAAAGGAAAAATCTCTTCCCAATGTAGACTGTTAGAGGTGGCAGAATTTTCACAGGATTTCAGCTGTTCAGTCAGCAAGAGCATTGCAGCACTGCTGTGGAAAGCAGGGATACTACTTGTGGAAACCTGCTCCAATCTTACAAGTCTCTTGGTTAGAGAGAAATCCCATTAAGTAAATGCATTTTCATTTCAAGCAGAGGATTTTGTAGAAGGAAAAGAATGGTGTAAGAGTGTAGATGATCTTTGCCATGTAAAATAATCTGGATGTGCTGGAGAGCTGCTTGGAAAGACATTAGACCTTATTCTTATTTATACTAAGGCCCCTCTCCTCTAAGCTGGTACTGAAAATGACCTTGCAATGTCTATAAAAATAACTTCTTTTATAGTCACTTACGCTTCCAGAGTACTGTTACTGTGTATTAGATCATAAATTCCTGGTAGTTTGTTTGCAAATCAATGTTATTTTCTGAGTATTTCTCTAGCCTTATAAGTAAGTAAGTGTACTGATTATTTCTACTTGGTTATTTTTATAGTTCTGTTGTGCTCATTTATTCCATCACTTGGAGTATTATAAGTGAAAATATGCGTATTCCTTTTGATGCTGATTAATAGCAGATTCAGAAGAATACTGGATTCTTAGATTAAACTTAGCAGTGCCAGACAACCTGTGCCCTGAATAATTCAAAAAGAATAAGAAAAGGATTAGAGGTAGGCCACACAGATATACATTTCCATGTGAGTTTAGTTAGACCTTAATACAGGGAATGTATGCTTCAGAGCCTCCCTGAGCACTGACTCTTTTATTCTTTATTCTCATTTCAACTTCTGTTGCTTTTTCTCTGAACTCCTTCCAGTCTATAGACCTTGATAACAAGGGCCCCTCAAGGGTTAATGTAGGGTTTCAAGAATGTTTTGCCAGTCGCTTTATGGCTGATCCTTCACCATACTTTGTCAGCTTATATTTTCTAAAGTGCAATTATTGCTTGGGAAATAACAAGACTTAAATTCTTCTGACTGAAGAGGGAGACATAATTCATTCTATATATAGCATCTCCAAACTGAGTTAAGCTTGAGTGTTCAGACATTTCAAAAAACAGCTGCTGTAAGAATCAAAGATAATGACAAGAGATAGCAATACAAATAAATGTAAGACAGCAATGTGAAGTTTAATAATTGATTTAATAAAACCCACAATAAAGCAACACACTTCTGCTTTTTTCTTCAATTAAACAAATGTGTAGTAAATTATTAAAAAACTCCAAATACAATACATGTCTACTGTACTTCAACTTCTAATTACATCAATTGTAAACCCCAATTTAATTAAAACCTATTTGAGTATTAGTATGTGCAAAATACCTGTTGTTTGTTTGTGGTATTTTTTTCCAGTAAGTTTGTAAGGACAGGATGCACATTTTTCATGAACTGTGATATGACTTAATTAATGATAGTGTTTGTATTGAAGCATTAACTTCCCAAGTACAGTGCTACTTTGCCTCTGAGCTGTATGTGCTCCCATGCTGTACTGAAGTGTTCCCACTTCTTACCAGAACAGACATAAACATAATCCAGTGTTATGTGTACTTTGTCCAAATTAATACTGTACTGTCAGTTTTCACCAATAAAAACTCATCATGTGACCCCTACCTCAAAAAAGGGGAGAAAAGAAGCCAAGATTGTTACAACCAATTGCAGGTATAAACGAGCCTGATGAATATGTGAAACCCTAGCAAGTTTCAAAACAGGCAATAGCTTAAGTATTCACAGCTGAGTATCACAATATCCATTACTGGGCAAAAATTTTCCTTTCTGATCCACATAGAGAACTACTTTTGATGTCAGTGGAAGTTCTGCATAAAGATCAAAGTACAGAATAAGCAAAAAATATTTGAAGCCAAGTTCTTCCCATCTTCTGAACTCTGCAGGTCATATTCTTGTTGCGCTTAGCTTCTTCAATGGAAATTACTTCAGAAGCAGGTGTAAATTGGAGCTTGATAATAGCTCAGTGTCAGGTTTTATCATCCCATGTACATTCAAAGTACAGGGATTCCACCATGAGACTAAGCAATTCAGTTTTGTGAACTTCAAGGTGTCCGGATGAATAAATAGTCTTTTCAAATTGCCTCATCTCTCTATGAATAAGAAAAGGCCTTTCTACCTCTGTAGGTCATTATATTATTGTCGAAAACAATATTATGATATTGTTGTCCAGCACCATTAGGTTACTGAGCTTGCTTGGATTTTGCTTTATTCATAAAGCCAAGTAGTGGGGACTGCTATTGCAGAGGCATTCCTGTCGGGATACTGCCATCCTGTGCTCAAAGCAAAGATGAAAAAAGGTCAGAGATCTGTGACTGAGGGAATAGTACATATCTAAAACTCTTTCCTGTTAGATGCATGTATTTTACATGTCTGTAGATTGTGTTTGGGAGTATCTCCACATCAAGCATAGTTTCTATCATTTGACTTTTCTTTTAAAACAAAACAATCATGGAAAAATGATCAATTACAGGACATTTATTAATTATAATTAGAATGCGTGCTAATCAACTGGCCTTTTAATGTGAATCAAATGTTGACATTCAAGATATTATTAATAATAAATTCATCTTGCAAGTCAAAACTTTGTAAAATAAATAACCTGTTTCTAATGTATAAACCCTATTCTAAAATACATTAAAGATAACTGATCACTTAAAACACTTTGGGTCCAGTGTCAGGTCTCCAGTTAAATACCAGAAGTCTGGGCAAGGATCTTCCTGTCTGGATCTCTGAGTGCCCAGATTAAAGCTAACTTTCTGGTCTGGGTATAGTGAATTCTGTATTTTGCAGTGTCTCCAAAGAGACAGTTTCCAAAAGAATTCAACTAGTACTGTATGCATTATGGTTTAAGATACTGTATGAAAATTACTATTGCAAAAATACTGTATAATGAATTCAGGGATCATGATATATTATGGAACCCTGGCATGATCAACATTAGAGACTTTAATTGAAATACTGAATACTTGATGCTCCATTTGGAGTGCAGGTACTTTGTGGTACATATTATTGAAGGACAATATGGACTGTAATTTGTGAGGTATCTGCAGAGCCACGTTGCAGTTTGTAAACAATAATCTGAAAACAGCTTTGTCTCAAAATCATAATAAATTGGATAAACCAGTACAAGGGATAGAGTGAAATGCATGTTCTGTAGGGCAACCACTGCACTTTTTGCAGCACCAGTTCTCCCTGCTGCATGTTACATGGTACAAATCCACATATTAATGATTTCTATTTGATCATTTTAATTTTGCATTTATTGCTCTCAGTCTTTGACTACAAGATAAAGAATAAGGCAGCAGTTCCCAAAACATATGAAATTAGGCACTGGAACTCTGACAACTTGCGCAGGTTTTGCTCGTTTCCTGTTTGTAACTCTGAAGCTGGACAGAGCACTTGTACATTCCAAATGTGTTCAGCAGCAGGTGTCGGGCCTTGGACTGAACTTCCTCCCATTTAGATGAACTACCAGGAACTGGAATGTCAAGAAAATAATTAATAGAATTCAATCCTCAAGAAACCTGGACAATCCAGCTCTTCTCAAATTTATCACAGTGTTACCAACTAGAATAATTGTTTTTCACACTCATTAATTTAATATTGTTCTGTGGTCACTATGTACTCTCTATATATTATTTTACACCTTTTAGGTCTGTGTCCTTTAACTAGAATCACCTCTTGCTAAAAGTGTGTGTGTTTGACACCACCCCCCACCCCATCCAAAAAATTGAGCTTTCTTACTAAGAATTAATATTCATGGTACCATTAGATATCTAAATCAGCACGTTTTGGCAAAACATATTTATTATTCATATGTCAGATTGTTCCTCATTAGAACTTCACCCTGTCTTTCCCTGGACAAAATAAGGGAATTTCTGAGAGAAATTTTTTTTTCTTCCCCCCCAAGCCACCCCCCCAAGAATCTGTATTGAATGTTTCAACACAAATATATTTTCTTTGCACAGTTTTCATTTACAGTGTGTCCTTCTGGGCCAATGCATTCTATACCTTGCTGTACAAAACCATAATTAGTAGATTTTTTTTCCCCCCAGAATGGTATTTCCCAGTTCAACTTAAATAACAATATGAAGAGAAGCGGGGGGGGGGGGGGGGGGGGGGGCGGGGGGGTTTCCAC